TCAATTTATAGATTCTTGCGTGGTTAATTCTTTTACCTGATGAGACACATAAATAAGTATGGATCTATTTCTTTGATGTTATATAAATTATTAAAACTATAAACTTCAAAAATTGTAAATTCTTAAAATCTAAACTAAATACCATAATTAGTAATACGGAAAAGTGGAATCCTCAAAATAATGCAGATATTGATATTCCTTTCTAAGTTCTTTCTTTTGGGCCTAAATCAGGATTCCACATGACCAGAACTCTTTAATTGACAGTTGAATTATAGTTTGGCCAAAATATCTTCAGTAGAGCATCTGTTTGGAACTTCATGAGGGAAATCTCCATTTACCATCATGGCAATCAGCACCTTGGTATAGCCAATCTTGCTTCTGGTGGCCTCCATTTAATCTGTCTGTCATCAAAGATCTGCCAAGAAAACTCACTAGCATTCCAATCCCTATATTGTTCTACATATCCATATTCAATCTACGTCAGTTGTGCCCACACGGGAACATCAAATTTAATATATTTTCCAGAAAGAAAATCAACATACTAAGGCTGAAGGACTGAAAGAAATTTGAATAAGTCTTTGTTCTCTACAGAGCCTGTTTTTGTGTAGCTTCATTCACTAATCTGAACAGGAAAACCCCTTTTCTGAGCTTATCGATCTTGGGTGTTTTAGTACCCTTTCATTGGTATCAATAAAATGCACCATATCCTTTAAAGCTTGGTTTAACAATTACAGTATACCTAACAACTGCATTCTTGCATCTCAATATCCTTTTGGCCTTGAAACAAAATTTCTTTGGATCAAGAACTTGAAGTTACAAACCTAGTATGCATTTGGGATTAAGTAAAGAAATTGATGAGATGAAATTTGAGGAATCGTACAAGAAAAATGAACTATTGTTTGAAGAAGAGCAAATGAAAATTCAAGAACCCTAGGAAGATGATCTTGGGTCACATGTTGAACATCCTATGGAATTGAAATGCAGGATGCCGGTTCTTAATTTGCTTGAAATGATTGAAGATGGCATATCACCATTTGAAGCCAATAAGTTGTTTGATGCCCTTATGGTTGAGTGGGATTGAGTGATTGTGTGGTGTGGGACTACAGGAAACGCAAGATGGGGTGTGTAGTAACAATCAAAATGGTCTGTGTAGTTGATGCCAAATTTCTAAAGAAAATACACCCACATATGCTGACATCAAAGGGAAACAAGTCATTCTAAGTGGAAGTTGCAATTCCTTACGAAATATTTTTTGTTTCTCACATGTCAACTCCTGGGAATCTTCCAGGATCTTGGAAACAATTTGTCTAGTAGCATACCAGTAAAGAAGCTGTCGGATTTCAAGAATTGAGTCCTGTACTTGGAACGCCAAGCCAACATTATCCCCTTGCAAGTTGTACTGAAACTTGTCAAATAAGAGTGTAATCGAGAAGTTGTTAGTAACAATTAAGAAATATGACAGTAGAGAAATGGAAGACTTATTTGATTAGTGAGACTTTACATAAGGAGGTTGTTGATGAGGGAATTGTTCCAGTTGCGTTGCTTATTGTTTTTCTGAATTTTAAGCATCAATTGTAACCTGATAGGATTGAGGACAAACAAGGTTTTGCGGTTTAGCTTATTGCACAACCTGTGCCTTTGTTGCCTGTCTTATCGCACAACCCAACCGACACCCTGAGTTCGTCAATGCTTCCCATTCAACCATTGAAGTGAAGAACCTCTGTTCTATTTTTTTTCTTTTTTTAGGCGTTCTATTGATTATTTTTACCGATGTGGATTAACCTAATTTTGATTTTATGGTTAGTTATATTTCAATTTATCGAAAGTGAGGGGAAGAATTTACCCAAAAAAAAGAAAGAAAGTGAGGGGAAGGGTTTTTCTGTATTTTACTTTGGTTTCTTGTGTATCTTAATATAGAGGAGGATGGGGAAAATGAAAAAAAAAAAAATGATATCCTTGTATTTTTGTCCCATCTTATTCCTTTTGTTTCCCCTGAACCACATAAGGGGAGGATAAATAAATTTGAGAGCCTTAATGTTTTTGTACGTGGTAATAACCACTCTAAATTTGGGGTCATGGACTTAATGATAAATGAGTATCTTTTTATTTTTTAAGGTATAGATATATATATATATATATATATTTTGTACTTAGGAAATTTTTAAGAATAAGGAAATAGTAGTGTTTGGATATAGAATTCATGATTTCATATACTAACACCTCCCAATCATAGGGGTATGGCTATTAGGATATTTAGTGTTGGACTTTTAAGGTATAGATATTTATCGCATAAAAAGTAAAAAAGTACAAAAGTTACTAAGTTTTATGGTTAGGTTTTATTAAAATTTTGTTAAGTTATTAATTTTATTGTTTTGATAAGAAATTGACATAAAAATATATATAAAAAGTTGAGATTTTTGTATAAATAAGGATATGACATTTTAAAAAATTTTTAATTAAAGATATGATATTTCTTTCTTAATAAGTAAGACTACCACATTTTAAACGTTTTTAATAAAAAATATAGCTTCTGTAGTTTTTTTTTTTTTTTTTAAAGATTAAATAGATGTATAGGGTTACATGTTTAATTAGAAATCTATAAAAATGATAGCCTTGAATTAGTAAAATCACAAAAATATATTTTTGATTAAAAGCTTTTGAGGGGTATTTATACGAAAATCCGCCCTGAACATTGAACCTATCGTTTTTCTTTTCTTCTGCGTTTCGAAATGCCGATCCTCTGCCGTCACTGTAATGGAAGGCTGATGGACTCCCTTGTTGACATTCGCAATCACAACAAGAAGGCGCACGCTCGCATGAGGTTCGAATGCAATGTCTGCTTCAATGCGTTTCTTTCTGTTGAGGATCTGGAGAATCATCAAGAGTAAGGCTCATTTGTGTTTTATCTGAAATCTTTCGCAGATCTAGTTAAATTCTTTAGGGTTTGTATGTCAAGATTTACATCTGCTTGCTCTTTTTGTGTTTCAATGATTAGGGT